TCGCTGAGTACAGGAACAAGGTACAGCCCTGGGGGGACATCCCAGCCCTGGGGGGATCAACCCAGCCCTGGGGGGATCAACCCAGCCCTGGGCATTCCAGGAAAACAGCCCCTGGTCCTCCTCCTTCCTTTTGGAAGCCTGGAATTTGCCTGTTCTTGTTAGCAGCTCATCCTTAGCGAAGGTGAAAGTTGTTTCTAGGAGCTTGCGCACTGCCTTTACCAGGTGACAAGTTCCTGGGTGATCTTGAAGGTTTTTCCAACCTAAATAATTCCATGATTCTCCTGGGAATGTTTATTTAATAGAGTCAAGTATTCATAGCCAAGACAGACACACAATACCGGGATTTTTCCCTCCTCACATCACTAACTGAACCATTTAACAGATGAAATATTTTTTTATTTTGACACAGGTTTGGTTTTTTGTTTTCCCTCAGCAGCAGAGAAGGGAAAAGAAGGACAATTTGGGGGTTTTGTTTTAGGGCTGTTAGCCCAGCTGAGGAAAAGGAATGTTCAAATGGTAGGAAAAGTGGTTTAAACTCAAAACAGAGGAGGCAGCTGCTCTAAGTGCCCTTGGGTTTGGTTGTTTGCCCCTGCAGGAAGAGCTGTACCTGAAGCACGTGGAAGAACTGGACAACATCACCAGCGAGAGGGACAAATTCAGAGAGGCCTTTGAAGAGCTCAGGAAACAGAGGCTGAATGAATTCATGGCAGGATTTAATGTCATCACCAACAAGCTGAAGGAGAACTACCAGATGCTCACGCTGGGAGGGGATGCTGAGCTGGAGCTTGTGGACAGTCTGGATCCCTTCTCAGAGGGAATCATGTTCAGGTTTTCAAAATACTTTATATTCTATTAATTTTTAATCATCATAGTCTTTTTCTCAACCTGTTTTTAAAGTAAATTTTCAGTGGTCATCAGTGAACCAAGACAGGCTCAATGTGGGCAGTGACAGAAACCACAACTTTTTAGCTCTCAGTTTCATTTCTTTCTCCTGGAGAAAGAGGAACTAAAGCAGTTGGAAAGCTTTGAACTCGTTTCCCAGCACTTAATTCCCAGGTCAGTTCATCCTGCCGAGGGAACGCTGGCAGTGTTCTGTCAGAAATGCTCCCAGGATAAATGCACTCACTGGGAGCTGAGCTGGGAAAGGCAGCGTGCCGTGGGGCTGAGATCCTGCAGGAACAGCCCCTGCTACCCAGGCTGAGCTCAGGCAAAGATCAGAATTCCTCACAGACACAACTCTTGCTCTGTTCCAGTGTCCGGCCTCCCAAGAAAAGCTGGAAGAAAATCTTCAACCTGTCAGGAGGAGAGAAGACCCTGAGCTCCCTGGCCCTGGTGTTTGCCCTTCACCACTACAAACCCACCCCGCTGTATTTCATGGACGAGATCGACGCTGCCCTCGACTTCAAGAACGTCTCCATCGTAGCATTTTACATCTATGTGAGTTCCCCATGGCCTCATCTTCCCGAGATGGGCCCTCCTCCCCCAGAAGGGACAAAGTGGCCACACAGAGGCAGATTTAAGGTCTGCAGTTTCCCTCTGGAGCACACAGAGACTTCCCCCAAAACCATCAGCTGTTGTCAGAATACACAGCTTTAGCTGCTCCTGATGGCTTCACCATTTTCCCATTTATACTTCCATGTCATTCCTATCAGTGTCTTTGATCTCTGTCTTAATTAGTGGTAATTAATTTTTTTCATGCCTTTAAAACTTCTGCCCTCACCATATTTAATCAAAGCAAAGCCCTTACACGGCTCCAGTTCAGGTAATTAAACACTGAATATTCAGAGTTGTTATTAATTGCAGTTTTAGAAACAGGTGGCAAAGATTAGGAGCAGCTCCTTCAGATTAGGGAAACACTTGGAAGTTCCCTTCCTGCAGCTGCAGTTTTAAACCTGGCTTTGTGTGCCACACCAGGACAGAGGCAATTTTGGGAATGCTAGGCACTAACACAAATCACTTCTGTTTCAGGAACAAACCAGAAATGCCCAGTTCATCATCATCTCCCTGCGGAACAACATGTTTGAGATTGCAGACAGATTAATTGGGATTTATAAAACCCAAAACACCACCAAAAGTGTGGCCACCAACCCCAAAATCCTGGCTGTGAAAGGACTGGAGGAACTTGGTCTCCCTGAGTGCAGCGTAGCCCAAAAATAGGGAGGAAGCAACTTCCAGCCCATGGCTGCTGTTTATTTTTGTCTGATCTCATTTTGTATTGTAGACTTCGTGTTGTTTTATAAATTTTGTAAAAAAATTATATTCTTAATATAAACCCAGCCTCAATAAATTCCACTTTTTTGAATATCATGTCAAAATTGAGGAAAGGAAGATGAAAATAGAGAGTTCATCAGATTTACCAGGGGGCAGGGGCAGCACCAAAGACCCAGACAGCAATTTAAGGGATTTTTACTATAATGTAAAACTGCCAAGAGTGACAGGAGAAGCTCTGCAATGCACCTGATCTTTGGCAAAGAATTCCAGGAGGATGTTAAGGACCGAATTCCCAAGTTGGGGATCGAGGCAAAACTCTCCTCACCTTAAGTGGATCAAAACTTTAGTTCAGGGGAAATCCATGCAAAACAGGAAAGGAAGGATAGAGAGAAACAGAACAAGTGTAGAGCTTTAACAATCCAGCTTTTAAGTAGAAATTGAAGATAATGCTGGATTGCTGCACTAGGATTTCAATCTAATTGAAGCAGGAAGAATTGTCCTGCACAACTCCAGAGCTTGGGCAGAAATGAGGCACAGCTTTCGCACTCTGTCCTGCAGGTAGAGGCAGAAATCCTGATAAATCTGCAGCAGGAATTCCCAGAGACACTCCAGAGGAGCCAGGATGGTGCCAGGTGAGATTTCCTCGTGCCATAACCACACAAGTGAGATCAGGATCAGCAGAAGAATGAAAAGTTTGGTTCAGTAAGAGCAACCCAGAGTGCAGACGGTGCCGTTTGCTTTCCGGAGCGTTGGTTTTTGTGAGCCAGGTGGAGCTTTGGGGTGGGGATCCCGTGGAGCTGCCCGAGTTCAGTTTTACCCCACATGTCCTGCAGCACATTCTCCATCCTCAGATGGGTCTCCACAGGCTCAGGCTCTGGGAGTTGCTTCATTCTGAGAGCGTGGAGCTGCAGCTGCAGCCTGTCCAGCTTCTCCAGGAAAAGCAGCAGGGACTCGTTCTGAACAGCTGCATGCAGCTCCTTTAACTCTTCTAGCTTCACTTCTTCCACCTCCTCCATGAGGAAATGGTGGAATCTCGTATTTCTCTGAGATGCAGCTGCCCAGTTCATCCAGCACGCTCAGCAGAGCTGCTTTTTCCTGCTCCAAGGCATCACCAAGTTCCTTAAACCAGCACAGCCCAGCTTCCCTGGCGCTCTGCAGGGCGCTCTGGCACCGCGTGTCTGCTGCCGCAGCCTCTGGGAGCACACAAACACCTTGGAGCGATCCATCAGCTCCTGCAGGAGCTGTCCCTCAGCCTCCCTGGCTCTCCTGGAGGAGCTCTGGAGTCCATCGATGCTGAGGCTCCCCAGCCACAGGTCCTGCAGCAGGAAATGTTCAGCGGCTGCCGGGGGTGAGCCCTGCACGTCCCGGGGCTCCACCGAGATGTCACAGCACAGCTCAGCTCCTCCTCCAGCCTCTCCATGGCCTGCAGGGACACCACAAACAACAATCCATCTCTGCTCAGCCCCACAGCACAGTTCCTGAGCCAGAGAGCCCTCCCTCCACACCTGGGGGGAACAGAAAGAGTGCAAGTGAGCAACGCTTCGAGCAGCTCAGCAGATTCCAAGCTGCACTGGGAATTCACCAACACATCCCTATCCAACCCTTCAAATCCCAGGAAAATCTGCCACCAGACACTGGTTACAGTGGGAAACAGCAGCAGAGAGGTAAAAGCCAGAACTAGAATTTCTAAATAAGCTCAGAGCTATGGCAGTTTTCTCCCACCGGGACTAACATTTTCAGTGTGTAGAAAGAAGTACAGAAATTTTTTTCTCCCACTCATTTCCAATGTTACTTTTGTAACATAAAATAGTTATAAGTGCATTTAACAGTCACATTTAGAAGCTCTCTCAAGGCTCTGGCACAGAAAGTCCAACTCACAGACAACACCACACCAGGAATTACTCCTGAGTTACTTTACATAATTAACTTTCACTTTCCATCCAATGCAACGTTGCTTTTTTCTATTTCCCAGCTGAGTGAAATCACACTGCAGAGTCCCAAGTAATGCTAACAGTATTTCCATAATAAATCATAATTCTGGTTTTCCTTCTGCTAAAAAATGGGGAAATTGGTACCAAATTTCCTTCTCTTTGTGCCAGACTTTCCTGCCCCCTTCATCAGTTCCAGTCAGTTCTGTGGACTTTGCTACACTGCAAAAAGGAATTGTCAGAGCATTTAAGATCAAAGCCTGTTCATTTAGGGTCTGACCTGAGATGTGCAGCTGGGCTCAGGCTGAGGGAAGGCAGGAGCTGACAGAGCCTGTTTGTTCTTTGGGAGTTAAACCAGCTCTGAGCACAGCAGCCTGTGCTGCTGGCAGAAATAAGCCTGGCTTATCTCACTGGCTTAGCCAGGCTGGGCTCGGTTAAGGAGGGCAGCCTGGGCAGCTGACTCAGCCCCTGTGCGGAAATTGAGGTGAAATGAGGCCAGAGGATCAACTGTGATGTTTTATTTATGGCAGCAGGAGTTCCAGCTTTGAAGGAGAGGAAGGAAAGGGGGAGGAAAGAGGAAAAGCTCAGCATCAGCACCCAGGACTCACACTTAGAGGAGGGAAATTTCCTTCCTGAAGAACACACATCACCTGAGCTGTGGAAAGGGTGAGAGAAAACAAATCAAACTGCCGAGGAGCTGTCTGCTGCCAGAAGAGCAAAGGAAAACCTTTACAAGAAAATTCTTGGCTGTGTCAGGAACACCCTCAGCGCTGCAGGAGCAATGTCCCTCCCAGCACACGGAGCTGCCCTGCCCCAGGCCAGGGAAATGACATTCCTGTTCCCCCAGAACACTCCCAGGCAAAGCCCAGCCTGGATTTTGGCAGGAGTCCCCTGCTGGAGCAGCGGCCAAGGCTGAGTGGGACACCCTGCTCTGGGCACCTGCAGAGGGAACAGTGCTGGAGCTGCTTATTTATTCTTCATGTCCCATCTGATCTGCAGAGCTCAGGTTTGCTATGGACACCCAGTGTTTTCTTACTTTGTCCCACACAAAGTAAAAGGTGGAAATCCTGAAATTCAGTTTCATCCACCACTGGCAGAGGAGGAAACGTTCACTGACTGATTTATTTCTACCCACAGCTGAACAGATCGGAAACAGACTGGGAACACAAGGGAAAGGACAGAGGAGACACCACAGAGTTCAGCAAAGAACAAAAAGTTTTCCAGGGGGAAAGAAAAGCAGCAGGAAGCTGGGAAATGCTGGCTTCATCTGCCACAGCGCCCACGCCATCAGTGTCCAGGTAGAGAAGGAACTGCTCCTGGGACAATCCCACCCCAATTCTGCTCTGAGCGATTAGAAGGGAATTTGGCATTGGATAAAGGCTGTGCCAGCCCATTCCAAGGGCAAAGCCTCCCTAGGAACGAGAGCTGCCAGGCTCCTGCTGCTCTCTCCTGAAGCACTGAACCACTCAGAGCTGCTCACACAAACCAAGGCACAGCTGGGGATGTTCTCTGCTGTTGAATGGCAGAAAGGATTCAGTGCCAGCCCTGGCTTGGAAGAAATGCACAGCAATTTTCACTCACCTTCCACACTCTGCCTCAATCTCAGAGATTTTTCAAGACCACTACAGGCATCACTTCAATGAAGACGTTTACAATAGGAACTGATGCTGGTAATCTTAAAACCAAACTTCAAGAAAGCAGCAGAAACCTGGGCCAGGAGTTTGGTGATGTTTGTGGGTCTCTTCGAAGACCCCCAGGGTATTTTATGATTCTTTATCTCCTCCCTATCTTTCAATTCCGTTGCCAAGACTAACTCTCCATTCCTTCTAACCCTGGTAGTGAGCATTTACCTATTCTTCACCGCACGGTCCCGGGCACTGGAGCCAGAGGCAGGAGCACACCTTGACCTGTCCCCCGCAGCTCCCAGACACCGGGGATCGGTGGCCGCCGTCCCTGCACGAGTGGCTGGGAAAAGGGATCCGTCCACACCTGGACCTGCCGAGTCACAGCGACAGCAACAAACTGAAATGACATAAAAGCGGTCCCGAACCCCGCCGTGCCCCGGGACGGCGGCGCTCACCGGGCCGGGCTCCTCGGGCTGCGGGAACCCTCAGCACCCGCCTGGGCCCGGCCCGGGGAGCTCCGCTCGGCTCCGGAGCCGCTCTCGCCGCGGCCCTGGAATGGCAATGAGAGGGAGCGGGGGCGGGAGCGGGCGGAGGGGAGGGAGGGGAGGGCGGGCCGGGACCGTCCCTCCCTCGGCCGGAGCGGGGTTTGCGGCGCTGCGGTGGCGGAGCTCACCGGGAAGGGACCCTCGGTGCCCGCGGCAGGGAATCGCTGCAGGGCTCGGAGGGATGGAGGAGCGGGGATGGCTCCGATCCGGAGGGGATGGAGGAGCGGGGATGGCTCCGACACGGAGGGGATGGAGGAGCGGGGATGGTCCCGATCCGGAGGGGATGGAGGAGCGGGGATGGTCCCGATCCGGAGGGGATGGAGGAGCGGGGATGGTCCCGATCCGGAGGAGGAGCCGCGTTCAGCCCCGCTCTGCTTCCAGCGCCTCGTTCCTCTCCAGAGCCCGTGAAAAATCCAACCTGAAGGTGGAAAACAGGAGACGCGGATCCTCCACCGCACCTTGTGCCAGCTGCAGACCAGGGAAATTGAAATGATTTCGTCTTTTCTTTGAAGCTCGTTCATCTGCCTGGGCTGCCCAAGACAGCCGAGAGGTTTTTTAGGGTTTTTAGGACGCAGGGAACGGCTCCCACTGCCAGAGGTCAGGACTGGGTGGGATTTTGGGCAGGAATTCTGCCCTGGGAGGGTGGGCAGGCCCAGAGCTGCACCCAATGAAGACTTTTCCCATTTTCCACATTATTCTATATTAATTTACAGTTCACTGAGGTTACTTTCAGCTGTTACAAAGTGAATTTGAAAGAGAAATGAAACTGACTGAATGTTGTGATGCAAATCATAATGCACCATCACCCAAAACTTACCTGAACACGTCTTAAAACGACCGTGTAGAGAATATTATACAAATACCTGGGAAACAACTCGAATTACGTTTCAAATAATAAAAACCCTCAAGCCCAAATCACAAATTTCCCACCACATCAGGAATATCTCAGGGGGAAAACGACAGGAGCAGAAAATCAGGGAGCTTTTGACATTAATTCACAGTGCTGAGAGTATTGTAACTGACAGTAAGAACACATTGGTTTTCATCTATTTTATGTACTTAAATTAAGAATTCAAGATGAAGCAGCATTTCAAGTGCAAACTGCCATTCCAGGAATTAAATCTGTGATTAAACCCACAATCTGTGTTGCTGATAGGAATCCTGACCCTCATCAAATTACAAAACTTCTGGACAATAATTGGCATTTAAAGTTGCCCAAAATTGTTCCTTTTCTAGTAAGAGCAGCTTTTAGTGCTTTATATTAATTTAAAATTGAAACTATTGACATTTTAATGACAACTTAAAGTCTTCCTCAGCTTTGGGGCACACCAAACCAGCAGGATAAATACAGGATTTCTAATGGATTGACTAAGCAAAAATGGGAATTATTTGATGGAAATGAAGATTTCCCAGTGATTCCCATGTGTCCCCCGAGTTCCACTGGAGCAGTAGCTCCAGCTTACCCTGAGTTTGTAAACTTGACACGTTTGCAGCTACTAAGTTTCCTCTCACCAAGATTTGATCCAGATGCAGAATTCCTCTAATTGCTTCCAGCCTCAGGAGCAGCTTTCCTGCCAGGAATTTGGTGACACGCAGAGCTGAGGAAACATTTATAGTTAAAAGCAGGAAAAAGTCTCCCAGTTTTAATCTGAAGACATCCTAAAGTGAGGAACTGTCTCTGCCAGGGTTTCATTTGCTCAGTAGCTGACTGTTCTATGCAGAAATTTGGATTTTTAACAGCCTGTCCCACTCCCAGAGCAGAAATTCCCAATTTACCTGGAATATCTGGGAAGGATGGGATGAGGTCTGCCCAGGGAATGCTGGAAACAGCCAAGGATAATTCCACTTCCAACTTTTCCCAATAAATCCCTTTCCACTCAGCTTATTCTTCTTCCCAGATCCTAAAATTCCAGGGTAGCTGTATTTTTCCTTAAAAGAAAAAATTCCCACCTGGCACAGCTGATTTGTAGATTTATTTTTGTCCTTTTAATACTTTAAATATTTTTCTATTTGCTCTCCTAAACTCAGATGAAAAGATAATTTCCTATTCCAAAGTAGAGTATATTATATATATATAAATAGGATATAGATTATAGTAGAGGATATTTTAATATATCTAACATATAAATATGGATGCAACATCCAAACTCAGTGATCAGTATTCCCAGAGGTGATTCCCAGATTTTTTCTTGTTTTTATCCCAAGATTTCCCAACAAATCCCCCTTTCCCCAACAATGTAATCACTTCAAAAATTCAAATTTTGGACAAAAAAGGCATCACACAAAGCAGCTTCAGGTTTGTTCCTGGAGAGCTCCAGTGGTGCCACCCTGTGGAGGCTGGAAAATTTCACATTCCCACATTTTGGTGAAGTAACAGCGACAGGGGAAGAGAATTTCCCTGTTAAAAATCCACCTCAAACCCAGCCAAAAAGGGAAAAAGCCGGGACAGCAGCAGCCCAAGGGAATTTTCTGGAGTTATGTTATCCAAGAAGTGCCCAAAAGGACATTTTTTGGCATTAAATATTTAATTTTGGTGGTATTTTGTTTCTAGAAAACCAGAAGTTGTCACAAACACCTGTTCCCTATGGAAAATCCCTCACAAAGGGTGAAAATTGTATTTTACTGGTTAGAATTTTCCTTGGAACGTTGCAACTTCCAGAAAAAGGATTTCATTTCCCTCCTCCGTGGATTCCATGAAAACAGCCCTGATTTATTTAGTGAATACATAGAGTTAATTCAGTTAAACTGAAGTAAAACTGTTATTTTTAAACATTTTTGGCAAAATAACTCCAGCCTGCAACACACAAACACTTAACAGCTAAAACAACCTCAAAAAAGCCTTTAAAAATTGATTTTAAAAGTGAAAATGAAAATCTTTAAAATCTAAGATCATTTTTAAAATTTAAAATCACATTTTAAAAGTGATTTCCTTCAAATAATCTCTGTGTTTTAGGATGAAAAACGTGAATATTTAATAAAGAAACAGCCAGAGCAGCAGAATTGCAAGTTTTATTGTTTATTTCCCCAAGACAGCCTAGCCTGCACTCTACTTGGATAAATTCACAAGCTAGTTTTCCGCTGCTTCTAGTTTTAAACTTTAAACTCATGTTTCTGATGACAAGGAATGCTGCAAAAATACTCTAGTCCAACAAAGAGTTATGATCACAAAATAATCTTTATCCATTCTACAGTGTTTCAGAATTACCAGCTGATTTGAAAACACAAGGTAGATATAGATGCTAATGGTGGCTAACCTGGGATGTTTTATTATAGCAAACTGTTGTTCATGCAACACTTGTGCTCAAAGGGGAAGGCACAGCATTTCCTACTATGAGCCACCTTATCAAGAGTTCACTTTGTACAAATTTGTAACATCACCTTGAATTTAGTGTGCACCACCTCAAAACTGAGGCATTCCTCCAATTATAAAAACACTTGCATCCTTTTTGTGCAAGTTTTAAAAATACAAAGGTTTTTTTTTTTTTATTTTTTTTTCTCTCTAAAGTGGCTCAAAATAGATTGTTCATGGCTGCCTACATCTAAGATAAAAAGAGTCTAAAACAATTGGATTAGGCATATTAAAGGTGTTCAAACCATGACTTGATTTGTACATCTATTCACACCTCTTTTTTTCGCTCTTTATTCAGCAGTACATATGCACCAAATTTCATTTTTAGACGTTTCCATATCATTTTCATAGAAAACAAAGTTTGAAAACAAGTAACATTGAAACACAGCACGGTATCCTACCACAACAGAAACATTTTGGTTACAGGACTCAACAAAATCTAAAAATGAACTATGCTGGAGATTACCACATGCAAAGGTCTTCATGTTATCTTTGAAAATGAAAAGGATGAGGTTTTATTACCACATTTTACTGCTTTCTACTATTATGGCAACTTGTGTACTGCAACACAGTCTAGTTTGAAGGGAAATGGATGATTTTTTGTTTGTTTGTTTTGTTTTTCCATGCAAAAATCTACAAATTAGTTTTGATGATATGGAAAAGCTTTTCATAACATCAAACATTCATCTGGTGCAAATGCACAGGGAAGCCTTCCTGAAATTCTGACTTTACAAACAACTAAGAAGCTGTAACAGGAAAAAAAAAAAAGAAATAAAATTCAAAAGAATGGAAAGAAAAAGGAAGAGGGGGGGAAAAAAAAGGAAACAAAAAAAAGGAAAAAAAAGAAAAGGAAACAAAAAAACCAAAGAAACCAAAAAAAGGAAACAAAAAAAAAGGAAACAAAAAAAAAGGAAAAGAAGAGAAAAACACAGGCTGCAGGAGTAAACCAGAGTCTGCTGCTAAACCGGTCTCGGTGTGTCCAGTGTAAGTCAACACTTCTGAAGTCATTGGATGATTTTAGGTTTCTCAGCCCCTGGAGGCGACTCAAGCTCGCACGCGTTCACAGACACTTCACAAGCACTCTCTGCCCTCGGGCCGGGCCCGTGGCTGCAGACACTCACTCACACGGGGCTGCAGAGCAAGGCCTGGGCTCCTCTCGCTGCTGTGCCGTGGGCGTCCTGCTCGCTGATGCGGACGAGGCTGATGATGAGAGTTCTGCGTTCCCCCCGCTGCTCCGGGAGGTCGGTGTTCCTTCTCAGGCACTGAAGATCTGTGACCTGTAGCCCTTTTTTTTCTTTGAACAATCTAAAGAAGCATTCAGTGTGAAGTTTGTCGTTACATTTTGCCACTCATTCTCACTCGCACCCACTCGCCATCTTGACTTCATTTGGGCTTTTCTGTGATTCCAAATGAAATCTTCACATTTACTTCCCCGATTTAATGCAGCATCCCATGAGCCAAGATTGATGGATCAAACCTTTTTTTTTTTTTTTTATTCGGTGCTGCATTGTACCTAAACTTCCAAAATACCACTCTAAAACTGGAACCCTTCTGCTGGTACATTGGCAGATGAATTGAAACCGAATGTTCCGCCTTGGATCGCTTCCGGAACAAGGCTTGGATCTTCATCAATCTGGAACGCAATGGGAACACGGTGAGTGGGGACACCACAGATCCTCCCTCCACAGGAGCTGGACAATCCCAAAAACCCCACAGCAGCTCTCTGTCCACCTCCAAGCCTCCTGCTCACACTGGGAACATCTGTGGGGCAGGGGGAGCCCTGTCCCTTCACCTCACCCCCAACACCCATGCAGCCCTGCCACCTCTCCCCTCATTTAGCTGAGAGCGCTAAAATGAAGTCATTTAAACCCAAATGTTTTGGCTCCTGTTTGTCAGGGAATGCTACCAGGCGCCCCAAACCCTCCTGTTCACACAATCTTCTCTCCTGGCAGCCTCACAAACTGCCTCAGTTCTTAGGAGAACACCAGCACCCCTAAACACAAACTGAAAATTCTGAGTCCAGCTGTAAATGCCAAAGTTGAGTTGCTAAACAAGACTTGGATCTTATTGTTCACATCAAAGTGAAACTCCAGCATAAAACAATCTTCCAAGTGAAAACAGGCCACGAATGCAGCTGGACTCGAGCATTTCTGGCACTCTACAAAGCAGCAG